CCAAAACATGCATGGTTACTTCTTGGTCACACTCATAATTCGTCCTAAAAAAGCCTTAGTGTGCAAATCACAAGTGAAACATCTTGTACACATACATCACCTAAAAGCCTTGTTTCATACTAAATAGCCTTTGCAATCCAAATCATGCATGAAGTACCTTGTACACACGTGTGAAACATCCTCCAAAGCTTTGTTTTTCATTCAATAGCTTATGTGGGTCCAAAACACGCATGAAACAATTCGTACCCTTATGTGATTTGTCATTTAGGCAATATCACACATGGTTGTTAGGTTCCAAGCGAGATTTGTCACCTTTGCTTGTGAAAACTCCAAAACATGTGTGAATAAGCCTTAGTTCCACACAAGATTTGTCACCAACAGCTATAATTACTGTGCAATGACTATAAACAGTCATATGATGTTTTTGACAGTTATTTCACCCCATGAGCTATAAATATAACATTTTAAAATTATATTAATAAGAGATTAACCTTATAAATTAAAGTAATATGAAATGCATGTTCATGTTACTCTTATTATACGAAAATCATTATTCTTGAGCCAATATCATCTATATCTTCATTATTTAAGTATTAGAACTTCATTGTACTCATCATTACTCTTAGAGAGAGTCTGAACTAAGTAATTTACATATTCTAAATCATTGTAAAGGTGAGGGAGAGATTTTTATTATAATAAAAAAGGTTGTTCTCTTAGTAAAAGAAGCTCACTAGCGAAGTGAGTTACTATAAAGGCTCACAAGTGCCCGAACTAAACTTGTAGTTGTATTGTGGTGACAAACATCCACTTAAGCTTATGTTATAGTGAAGAAATCTTAATTAGTTATTTGGCAACTAGATGTAGACTTAAGTAGTGGAGCTGAACTAAGAATAAATTATTGTTTCCAATCTATCTTTCCTTAACTCTTTATATTTTTAGCAAACTTAGTTAATGCTATGTTTTAGTGTACGAAATTAAATTTAATATTTCTACATGCTCTTACTCAAACTTCCACTTAGAAATTGATTGAGCTTTTGAAAATTACTTTAGCATTCTTACAAATAAAGTTTAGAACTCAAATTTACCTAGACTTTCTTTTATACCTAGTTTTACTGAACAGGTTTTAAAAGAATTGAAAATTTTTTAAACACCCAATTCATCCTCCCTCTTAGGTTTGTTGCCATATCTAACAAAATCAAGGATCTAAACCTAGGTTTATAAATTGTATAGTGATTTGGAGTTTTTGAGTAGGGCTTAGATGAATCCTATATAAGAATTGAGAGATTAAGAGTAATGTGAGTAGAGATTTAGAGTTATTAGTGTGTTTGGGTGTTAAATGAGATTATTGGAGTGTGTTGAAAGAGTTGATGTTGTTAAAGTAAGGTTTTAAGTATAGTAAGTACCCAAAATTGTGTTAGAAAGGGGTTAATTTGTGTGTGGATTGATGATTAAATATTATTAATCAAGCATTGTTACACTAGTGAACATGTGTAGAGCTAAGTATTGACCACGATAACCCTTTTAGTAATAAGAGGGTTGAGGTAAGTAGATTGTCTCAACTTCCTATTGGCATGTTTGGAAGGTTGTGTGGTTAATGTTAAGTTAATATGAAATGATTATAACTTAGAAACTTTATGTGAAGTGGAATGAAAAATCTTGTTTTAAACATTGAGATTTTAAAGACTAAATCCTATATTCAAGTATAAGTATTTGTGAAATTCTATGGTTTGTGATAGACATGACTATTATAGTGAAAACTATATGTTATGATTATGTGTGAAATTGTTGAGTTTATGTCTGGCATGATCATTATGGGAGGATGAGAGTTCACCCTATTGTGGAATTAAGGACATTGTTTAAAGATTCATATGCTATGCTAGCACTGTGGAGGCCCTGGTGCACAATATATTATTTATTGGAGCACTATGTGATATGGATTAGGCCTTAACACTCCAAGTATTTATGGATAGGAGAAATTTGTGGTTTATAATAGGTGAAGGCATTCTTGGTTGAGGTTGCCTCCCACCATTAGTGAGCTTGAGCCTATTCAATCACATGAATTTGGTTCTATTAGATTGTCAACCCACAAATTCAGTCAAAAGATACGAGGAGGGTATAAGGAAATATGTTGATCATACATATTATTGTATAGTCATATGTATGTGTATGTAACTTGTTATATATGTTTTAAATGCCACTTTACATAATCACTACTATTCTCACACACGAATAATTTGATTAGACAATTTGGTTACTGAGTCCTCAACTCACCCTATGGTTACATATTTTAGGTGAAGGATCCAATAAGGGCTAAGGGAAGGAAGGTGCTATTAAGCATTAAGGGGACAAGTGTTTGTATGGTCCTTTCTCTTTATATTGGTTTTGTAACAAATTAAGTATGCATATGCCAATTTAGGAAACATATGTTATTTTGAGAGCACCTGCATGAATTTATGTTGTAGACTGTAGGTATCTTGACCTGAAATGTTGTAATTGTGGTGTAATGGTTGAGAGGTTGAGATACTAGTACTAATATTGGTTTTATGGATTTGTGTATTTGAATGGCTATAAAAATTATTATTGTATTGTTGTTACCCTTCTTTGGGTTTATGCTAATCTAGGGTTTGGGTGGCCAAATTTTATATGGATTGATATTGTTGTTATTTAACTATGCAAGTGGGTTATTTGTGGTTTATTTGAGTTGGTTCAATTGGTTCCATGATTATTGACACTTGGTATGTGAGTTTAGATACCTTGGCTATTATTTTGAAAAGAAAAGGTACTATTTTGTATCCAGGTATCCAACTTTCAATTGGATTAATATTTGGTTGTGAGACCAGTGCCAATAGCTAGGTGGCTCTAAGAGCTACGTGTGGACGCTTGAATCACTCAAATCAAACGTTAGATACAAATCAACGCACTTTAAAAATTACCTCCAGAGTGTTATCAAGGTAATTATTTGCTATCATAATAGTAGAGGCTTGGTTCTCTATACCATCTGCCACGACGATGTTATTTGTTTTTCTCTTTTTATGCTTGTTTTGAGATGTTATTTGTTTTTCTTGCTTTTGCTATCTCTTATATTTTGTTTCAAACTATAGTTTGAGTTCAACCGGCATTTCAAAAAGAGTTTTCTTGGGATCCCGACTTGTGTAACCTTTTCATAATCTTTATCTTATGATAATTATTTTTAAAGGATTTAATTATTCTTGGTTATCATAATGGTGTTCCGTGCTTGGTATTCTATATATTTTGTAATTTTGAGGATGACATTACACAACAACTCATCAAAGTATGCTTCCTCCTCTAAAGACTTATAAATTACTTCAAAGGTGACATTGCTACAACAAAAAAATTTAGGATATTGAGTGCTCTTATAAAAATGATTCAAGGGCAAAAATAAACCTTAACCATTAATATAAAATATATAACAAGCCCTACTATTCAAAAATTAAAAACAAAATAAAACTTAAGTACTTAGTGTTATGTAACATCTTCATTCAAAAATGTAAAATATTTTTTGAAAGATTGGATGTTTAAAAATATAAAACATTTTGAGTCTTTTAAGATATAATCATTATCTCTTTTTTAAAAATACCCTTATTAATTAGGTCATTTTATATATTTTTTAGGGTGAAGCATTTTATTAAATAAAAATAAATATGAAAAGATAAGATTAATTTAAAGATAAGTAATGACTTTATTGGGAAAAAAAATTCGATTAAAAATGTCTTACATTTTTTAACGAATGAAATACTTAATATATTTTTATTAAATCAAATCAAGATAAATCAATTTTAATATGTTAATAATATTAATCACAATAATTTTCTATAGACTAAATAATATATATATATATATAAACAATATATTTCTTTATTTAATTGACAAACAAGCATATTAAGTCTATGCATATAAATTTTTTCTTTGAAAATAATACATATTATTGCTCAGACTAACAATAATTAAAAAGATCTTGGGTATATAATTGGTGATTTAGCAATTTAATATTCAGTACATATGAGATGCATCCTCGTATAGTTCATTATTGTAAGCAATATATGAAATGATGATGACCATCTTCTATCTATATATCTTTTCATTTTTCAATGGGACAGGTGGGTGGGACCCATTTCTCGTCCATGATTATCTCTTTTAAAGATTAACTTGTTTCTTTACTCTTTTAAGAATTAAAAGAACATAATTGAAACAAGAAGCAGACAGCGACATCCAAATAATTTAAACTTTTAAAAAATTAGGAAGATAAGGATATACATATGCATATGTATATATATGTATGTATGTATATATATATATATATATATAATAAATAATAAATAGAATTGCAATGTCATTATCAAGTTTGGCCACACCTGTTGTCATTTTCTCGCACTGTGGATGAGGTTTGGACTTAATTTTCACTCCAATAAAAATCACTATCTTCAAATTCAAATAAAAATCCTTAATCCAATTCCCATTATTCCACGCAATTCCAATAATTAACTAAGATCTGCTATCATCAAGAATCAAAATCATGTGCCATCAACGTTTGGTACAACTGGTAAGGGGTTGATTGAGTTTCTGGTATACAGTTCTGATTAAATTCTCAGTGAACATGCAAAGTCATGCCACTTGAAAAATTACTCAAAAATTGTTGGCTGAAGTAACATAGATCCAAAACATGGATGCTAGAACTCATGCAAAAAGGAAAAAAGATCAAAATCATCGTACCACCAAGCGCTTCAAGCAACCATTAAACTTAACCAAAATTATTATGTTCGAGTCCTGGCATACAACACAAATTAAATTTTAATGCAAGCCCCTAAAGAGATACCCATAAACTGTCAACTGGATTGGTCTAAATTAAAGATATTAAATAGGGTTAAAAAGAAAATCAAAATCATGTGGACGGTCGAGATCGATCTGTTTGATAGAAACAAAAGCAAGTAATAATGGTAACTAAAAACAGACAAGGTAGGTGGTAGATCATTCATGAGAACTGAAGCAGAACACACAACATAGATTTACATAACAGATAGATAGATACAAGTAGGAAGTGAAGATCAGAAAGCAAGAATCTCAAAGCTTAATTTCTTTCTACCACAGTGATAATAATAACAGAGAGAAGCGATGAAAATCCAGAAGAGCAACAAGAAGAAGAAGAAGAGGAGGTTGGTTAAGTTGCTGAAGAAGGAGGAGATACAGGAAGGGCGTGCTTGTCGTGAGCAGGCATGGAATTGGAGCGTTTGATCCAAGGGGTTGAAGAGGAAGACGACGACGAGGACAAGCGGTGAAAACGACATCGGAAGGAGCCTTCGTGGGTGGTCGGAGAGCAGAGGCAGTGGCCTTTGGCGACGCCGTGGTCGCTCTTTGGGGAGGTTGAAAGCACCAGCTTGCCATCTGCTGCAGCCTGAGATTGAGAAGCCATGGAAGTGAGCAGAACAGAGCACAATGAAAGAAGTTTGAGAGCCTCACATGGATAAGAAATTAGGATCCGAACCCAACATTTATTTATATATACAGAGGCTGGTGTGTGGGTCGCACCACTAAGAAAATTCAACCAGGTGGTGCGCCTTCATTAATGCATTTGTTTTGTTTTTTTATCACTGGTTTTTGGACATCGATACCCATTCAGATATTTCGAAGGAAACAAATTTGCAGGATATTTAAATGTAACAAAAAAAATCGATTTAATGATATCTATGTCTTAAAATATTTTTCTTGAAAATGAATTATAATATAAAGTTTTAAAGGCATAACTCATATTATAAAATTAAATTAAAATAACAGCCCACTATTTTTTTATTTTAAGAAATAGCCAATTTAATATTTATTATTAATATATTATTATATATCAACAATAACTACTTTAACAAAATTTTTTTGAAATATTGTTATTCATAATGTTTATCAATGATATACGAATGTATATCATAATATATATAAATGTACATCAATATGTAAACTGATCACATACTTAGATTTTTAAAAATTTATTTTATATTTTCTAGGAACAACTAAATTTTAATCAATGAACCAATTTTCTCTTATAATATTGAATTAAGTAATTGTAAGAGAAACTTTAATGTGAATATGGATAAAATATAAATATCTTATATATAAAGTTAAAATATACTCTCTCCATTCAAAAATATTAAATATTTTAAATTGAATCTCACCCTAATAAAGCAGTTACTTAACTAAACAATATTTTTTATATTTACTTCTATTTAATAGGGTATTTCACCTTAAAAAAATATAAAGTGATCCATTCAATAGAGGCACTTTAAAAAAAATATATAATGGTTATACTTTAAAAGACTAAAAATATCTTTTATTTTTTAATATTTACCCCACAAAAAATATCTTATATTTTTTTAATAGAGGGAGTGCAAAATTTTCCTGACTTTGAAATATTTGCATAGCAATCCTTCCCTTCACAAGTTTAAAATTAACCTCCCTATTATTTTATTTTATTTTTGTGTTTTACTATGGTCTACAGACTTCTCTATTATTATTTCTTAGATGTCACACTAACAAAATTGTCATATCATATTAAGAAAAAAAATATGTAATAACTTATGTGACATTCAATATAAACTGATAATAACTTTATAAAAATTATATATATATATATATATATTGTTATTATTAGCTTGCATCTATATAAGCTGCTATGGATCTTTTTTTTTTATATATGGCATGATAACTTTAATTAATAAGAAACAACATTAAGGGATGATGTGGTAAAAAAATAAAAGGTTAGTGAAGTTAGTTTTAAAATTTTAAAAGGTGAGAGGGGTTCCATGTAGCTGCCTCAAAAATCAAGAGAGTTATTATATATCTTAGCTTATCTATAATTAAAAAATTTGAACTTCTTCATTTGACATGAAAAAAATATTCCCCTTTTTTGGCCAAGAAAACATGAATTTCTATTTGGTCTAAATTATTATTTACAATTTAATATTTTTAAAAATTTTGTCAAGAACTTAATTATAAATAAATAATTTTTTTGCTGTTATTCTTTTGAAGAAAAGACAGGGTGAGGTAGTGTATATATCACTTCATCTATTAAAAAATGTAAGAAATTTTTAAAGAGGTTGGATGATAAAAAATGAAAGTCATTTTTTATCTTTCAAGGTGTAATTATTATCTTTTTTCTACAAGTATCTTTATTGAATAAATTATTTTATATTTTTTAAGATAAAACAACCTATTAAATAGGAATAAATATGAAAAGATACGATTAGTTTAAAGACAAGAGCTCCTTTATTAGGGTGAGATTCAGTTAAAAATATCTTATATTTTTTAACGGAAGGAGCACTTTTGATTATGGGAGTTCAAATTTAAATAATTTAAGGTTGAGTACTTTTGATTATGGGAGTTCAAATTTAAATAATTTAAGGTTATGTTTGGAAGGGGTGGATTTGGGATGAGAATTTAAATTTAAAATGTCACATTTAAAATTCATATATTTAAAATTATTTATTTAGAACATATAAAAAATTTTAAATTATAATATTAAAATCCTTTGTTTTAATCATAAGTAAAATTCCAAGATTCAAATTCTATATTTGACTTTGAAGGCAACTCGGATGACATCAATGGTTCGCCAACAATCTTGTCCTAAATGCATTTGGGGACCAATCTCAATAAGCGATGGTAGTCTTGTCCTGGTCAATATCAACAATCTAATCATGATCAGTACTGGTGATTTGATTCTAGTTAAAGTTGGTTATTCGATCCAAATCAACACCGATGGTCTAATCCTAATCAATGCCAATGGTCTAGTTCCATAATAGAGAGAATGTAGAGACTGAGATTAAACTTTTATTCTTGTTGTACTTTTAGGTTTAATGAGAAAGAATGTAAGTCCATTCTTTAAATCATATGGTTTTTTTTTTTTGAGAGGGAAGAGAAGGGGGAGGTTACAGGGTAATTTGAACTCTAAACTATGAGTCAACATTACTACAAAAAATATCTTTCAGAATGCGTCTTTCAGAGTGCTTATAAAAAAAGTGCTCCCAAAAATTAAGACAAAACCTACCAGAGCGCTTAATTAAAAAAGCGCTCCTATATGACACTATTTAGGAGCGCTCATTATAAAGAGTTCTTTGATATTAAATATTAAAACATTAAAAAATAAAAAATCTTACCTTTAGAAGTGCTCTCTATGTGAGTGCTCCCAAAGGTAAAACATTTAGGAGCGCTCTATAGAAGAGCACTTCTAAGTATAATATGAAAAAATATTTAAAAAATACTTATTGAGCTTTCAATTTAAAAAGCAGTTAACAATATTTAAAAAAAAATTTGGAGCACTCACTATGTGAGCCCTCCTAAAGTCAATCATTTTAGAGCGGTCAATGATTGAGCACTCCAAAATAATTACCAAAATTAAAAAAATAATATTTAGAGCATTTCAGAGTGCTTCGAAATGGCTCAATTTAGGAGGCTCAGATGTGAACGCTCCTAAATATAAAGGTTTCAGAGTGCTCACTACTTGATCGTTTCGAAATTTTAAAAATTTAGCAGATTGGTTTTTTGTTTATTTGCATGCGTAGAGCTTCAATTTCTCAAATTTACATGTACAGTCTCGCGTGACCCTCTCATAGTCCCAATCTATCAACTACCACTACCCGCTCCGCCAGAATTGATTTGAATGATGAACCTCGCGTTGACCGTCATCGTTGCTCGTGCCATTCCGCTTATAGTCACAGATCAAAGATCACATATCAAATATCACAGAACACTAGACCCCTTTCGTCATCGCTACTCATGTCACTCGCCGCCTCGCCGATAAGCTTACACTGCTGCCACTGCTACCTCTCAGCCTCGTCGTGTCTTGCCGATACGCTATATTAGGTTTTTTTAAATAAAAAATTATATTTAAATATTATATATATATATATATATGTTTTATGAATAATATATCATATGCTATATTAGGATTAATAATATATAATTGATGGTTAATTTTTTTATGGCATTAATCTCATGTTAGTTAATTTTTATGTGGAAATGTTTTTGTTTGGCTGTGATATTAACACACATTTATAGTTGTATTAATAATACACACTTATACACTAATTTGCATATAAAAAACACATACTTCTACACTAATTTTAATGTGATAATGACAATTGAAGCTAAGTGTGATAATAGTAATTTATCACCATGGTTATTTTTGCTATGACATTATATTATTCTCATTTCAGGTTTAGTTTATTTGTAGTTATCATGGTTAATTGTATTAAGCTAATAGATAAATTAAAGATAAATTACAATATTGTTTGATGGATTTTAGTTATATTATACTTTAAAATTTTTATTTGGTTCAATTGATATGTTATATTATTGGATTTGATTATTTGGGATGTTTCACTTTTAGGGAGGGTTTTGTCAATTTTTTTTAAAATTCTAAATATTTTTTTCTTCATTTCAATGATTATATTAGTGACATAGATCATAAGTGGATGTCAGCTAATCGACTATCTAGAGAATATTGGGATGGTGTCGATGAATTCATTGAGTTTGCATTTTATCATGATAATAACCCTTGTGGAGTCGTATGTGTCGTATGTCCTTGTTTAAAATGTTGCTATGGAAAAAGAGTAAGGCCAATTGAATTGAAAGATCATTTGATATGTAATGGATTGATCCAACTTATATTTGTTGGACTATGCATGTGAAGACAAGGAATAATACAAATGATTGGATGGATAGTGTGAGTTACTTAGCATTTGATCGTGATAATGGGACATATGATGTTGACCATCTTGATGAAATGATTAGTATGATTGAAGAGGATCTTAGAGACTGTCCTAAGATATTTGAGAGATTAAAGAGTGATGCTAATAAACTATTGTACCCCGGTTGTAGGAAATTCATAAAATTATCAATTATTTTGAAATTGTACAACCTAAAAGCAGCGAATGGATGAAGTGACAAGAGTTTCACAAATTTGCTTGAACTCTTATATGAGATGTTACCGGAGTACAACAAGCTTCCACATAATAATTATAAGGCCAAGAAAGTGCTCTGTTCTATTGGGATGAGTTATGAGAAGATACATGCATGTCCAAATGATTGTGGTCTCTTTTAGAAAGAGTATTCAACCTTAGATAAGTGTCTAAAATGTGATGCATCATGGTACAAGAGAAATGAATGTAGCCCGGTGAAGGAATTGTGGTATTTTCTAATCATACCAAGATTTAGACGCCTATACAGTATTACAGAAGATGCTAAACACTTAACATGGCATGCTGACGAGAAAATTAAGGATGGCAAGCTATAACATCCTGTAGATTCTCCTTAATGGAAAAAGTTTGATCTTATGTATATTGAGTTTGGGGTTGAAGATAGAAACCCATGCCTTGCACTAGCCACTGATAGAATGAACCCATATGGCATGCCAAGTAGTACTCATAGTATATGGCTAATCATTTTAATGATCTACAACCTCGCTCTATTATTGTGCATGAAGCCTAAGTTT